AGTTACTTTATAGAAGCAGACTATTTCAGTCTTAACTAGGAACCCTGGTGGCACAATTATTAAATGCTTGTCAGGTAAATGAAAGGTTGGCAGTTCGAACCCAGCATCTGTTCCCATGAAGATTACAGCTCACTAAACACTTGTACTCTGTCCTGTGAGTCAGAAACTCAAGGGCATGTACAAAATAACAACAACTTGTCTTAGCAGTATCCTGAAACTTCAAAAGCAGTGAGAACATTATGCGATAAAATGGGAAAACCTAATAGATTTAGTGCCACCTAGATTTTGTGCTGCCTTATCTAATGCATAATTGCATTATTATTCAATAGAGTTTGTACTGCAGAAGGAATAAAAACATCATGTTCAGTACTAAAGTATCTCCTATTTGTGGATGCTTAACTTAATAATTCCAACTAGTTAATTCTCTCAATGCATTCCGTTTCTTTATGTGTGTGAGAGAAGCTGATAACTGCTGTAATAGCACTTGTGTGATACATCAAGTTCTGCACCTCATCATGCCATGAGTCTTCATGCTGTTGAAGATGAAACATGTCCTTATATAATATACTATAATGTTTTTAAATTTAAGAATAGCCAGTAAACGCTGCTGTTTCTAAATGTTTGTAAATGATCGGTAAATATTATATGTCGGGTTCAATTTGAACTAAGAAAGCAATGGAATAACCATTTGGAGCAAATCACTGCACATATTCAAGACATAAATAAGGAAATGTATGCCAATCACTTACTTGATAATTTTTTAAAATAAAATATTAAACTATTTCTATAAAAGCAAGACTAGGCTGATTTAGGAAATTACTTACATATCCTGTGTGTGAGCACTAGATTTTAAGGCAGACAAATCACCTACATCATATGTAATCATACCACAGAAACTCATTTTTTTTTCTTCATTTAAGCTGGAGTGCATCTTGCTTAGAGCAGATTTCTGATGTTTTCATATAAGCACTCTGTCCCTTCTAATATTCTTGCTCATACCTTTTAAAAGAGGCAAGTCAGTATTTATACATTTGAGCATAGAATTATGTTCTCCATTTGTTAGACTGTTAAGAATTTTTTTCTTTTTCAATTTCTAAAAGACCCTTGACTGGTGACTATTGTAATTGATCTTTCAGTCCCTGGGTGATGTGTTCCATTGCTAACCAAATATGGTGGTTCAGAGGTACCTTGGAAGAAGGGTCTGCCAATTTGCTTCTAAAAAATCAGTCTTTGAAAACAATATGGAGCAAAATTCAACTTTGACACACATGGAGTCACATGACTAGCGGTTGACCCCACAGCAACTGGATGTAGTTAACCCTGATTTTTTAGTTATAAAAAACTAGTTGAAGCTGTACCACCACCGCTAAGACTGAATATTTGGTTCTAGCATTGGCAGGGCCTACCAATAAATGCTGTCATAATAACTTGGTTTTGGCAGGGGTATCTTTGAAATAAAACAGAAATAACCATTTGGAAGCTGTCATTAATTGACAGGTTGTTGTTGTGAAGTGCCATTGAGTCGGTTCCGACCCGTAGTAATCCTGTGTAGTGTTTCTGAGGACCGACTGGTGAACTTGAACCACCAATCTAGCAGTTAAAACAATTTTGCAGTCTGGCACATTAACCCACAGCGCCACATCAGGACTCCAATGGACAGCTAGTCAAGTAAAAATCATTTTCAGTAATTTAAGTTTTACCAAGTATATCTCCTTGCAAGAATTGAAGGTCTCAAAGCCCGCAACAGAACTAGCATGGCAAAAAGCTTACTCTGTCTCTTTGCCCCATTTGCATAATCAATAGTTAATTCTCAGAGGCCTCACTGTCATTTTGAGAGAAGTTTGAAAATTTCAAAATATAATATAAAATGATCTACTAATGTGGTGCTATAGGATAAATAATGGACTTCAAACTGCAAGGTCAGCAGTTCAAACCCACCAGCTGCTCTTCAGAAACCCTATACAAAGTTGTTATGAGTTGGATCCGAATGAATGTCACTTAACAACAACAATAACAAATATGATACTGTGTAAAGTTTAATGCCATGAAACAACAGCCATCATACTAGTGGTGTTTTGGTGAGGCCAAATTATATCTCAGAGCTAAACTGTTTGGCAAAATGGTTATGAATGCTACAGATAGGAACTCCTCCTGTTCAGAAATTGAACAAGTCAAACAATTTTTTCATTTGTCTTAAGAGTTTAAATGTATATGTATGATTTATGCCCCTCAAGAAAACTTACTAAATACCATGACACGAACATTTTCTCTAAATTTTTAAGAAAATTTCCAATTGTTGTTGTTGTGTGCTCCTGAGTCAGTTCCAAATCATAGCAACCCTGAATACGGTTTCCAAGGAGCAGCTGGTGAGTTTGAACCACCAACCTTGCAGTTCAAACCGACCTTGAGGTTGAGTGCTTATCCTATGGTGCCACAGATTATATGCTTCCTTTGATTACACCAAAGAGGTATTAATTGGGTCACGAGTTCTTAAACAGTGTTTTCCCATCAGATGAACTTGACGATATTTTCATAGAACGGCCATAGTACCCCTTTTTGTCTCTGGGAATAGTGTTTAATTGTAAGTCACGAGGAAAGTTATTGAAATATGAAATACATTGAAAGTTATTGAAAATGCCTTTGAGTTGAAAAATAGAATGAAGTAGGACCACGTACTTAATCCTTACAATTGTTATGTGTCAGTCTGTCTCTGTAAGCGTCTTCCTGTTTTTCACTCACCCTCTACTTTTTTAAGCATGATGTCATTTTCCAGGGTCTGGTCCCTCCTGATAACATGTCTAAAGTGCATAAGATGAAGTGTCACCATCCTGGCTTCTATGGAGCATTCTGGCTGTACTTCTTCCAAGACAGATCTGTTGGGTTTTTTTTGTTTGTTTGTTTGTTTTCTGGCAGTCCTTAGCACTTAACAATATAATCACAAACACCATAATTCAAATGCATCAATTCTTGTCGTGTCTTCCGTATTTATTTTTCAGGTTTCACATGCATGTGAGGCATTGAAAAATACCATGGCTAGGGTCAGGAGCATCTTAAAGTATCTTAGCTCTTTAACACTTTAAAGAAATCTTTTACAGAAGATTTTCCACCATAGTAAGACAGACTGGTAGCATAGTGGTTACGAGTTGGGCTGCTAACCTCAAGGTTGTCAGTTCGAAACTACCAGCTATTCCATGGGAGAAAGATGAGCCTTTCAGATCCTGTAAAGATTTATAGCCTCAGAAACCCCATACAGGGCTGCTATGAGACAGAAGCCACTCCACAGCATCTAACAACCACCACCGGGACAGACTGACAGATGAGTAGGAAATCAGGAATGGGGGAAAGAAAATGAGTGCAGTAAAAGAGTTGTTGTTAAGTGCCTTCTGACTCATAGCGACCCTGCATAGGGTTTCTGATGAGCAGTTGTTTGGGTTTGAACTATGGTTCGCAGTCCAGTGCTGATCCTATAGTACCACACGGGGAGTCCAGGAATGAGAGAGAGAGATTTATATTTTATAAGTAAATGCTTAATAGCCCTTTATAGTCCTCCAGAGGTGTCGATAGCTACCATTTCTCAAACACTTTTACTGAAAGGCTATGCAATATCTTCTGGCCCACCACAATCCCACTTTGTCTAGAGATCATTGTTAGAGCTGTTGACTTTAAGCAAAATTTGACTTTTTCTAAGATAAAATGGGAGACAGATTTCTAGAAATTTGACTTTTGGGTGATTTCAGTGAGTTTTGATTTATAGAAACTAGCCTATTTATACACATAATATAACCAGTATGATCTAGGGTTGCCATATTAAAACTAGAACAAATTATATCTATCATTTATGAGCATTTTCAATTTGAAAGCAATTGTTCAAAATAAATGTACATTATCTAATTCTAATATTCAGAGCAACTCTCTGTTATGGATATTATTTTTCCTACTTTATAGATGAGGAAATTGAGGCACAGAGTTGTTCATAAACATGTCAAAGGTCACATAAGTACCAAGCCGCAAAACCTGTAATTGGAACCCAGTTTTGTTGTAGAGCATGTACTATTAACCAATATGACATAGTGCTTCCCAAGATCAGGTACTAGGATATTTTTAAATAGCTTGTAACTTTCTAAACAATTTCTGATAGATATTATGTCATTCATGAAATATATTCCTGTCATTACAAGCATTCCAAGAAATAAAGAATTCTAGCATTTCTTTTTAATTTACATCTACCCAAACACAAGCAAGCTCGTATAAAGCTTAAATTCTTTTAAAAGGATATTTAAAAATATATTTTATCAGCAGTCTTGTCTCATTCCAAAACATAATATGCTTATATTTACCTGATTTTTAATCATTAATATTTCCTGTCAAAGTTGCCGTATGACCTCTTTTTCAGGGACCTTCCTGTATTTACTAATACATATTTATAAGTTGCTGTTTATGATGTAAGTGGTAATTATTAACCTTATGCTGTTGTTGTTGTGTGCCGTGAAGTCGGTTCATTAACCTTATATTGATCTAGTATATATAATACTAATTAAAAGAACAAATATATGCCTGTTTTTTATTTGCACTTTAAAAATTTAGTCTAAATATCAAAGGTCCTCTTTATTAGACTATGAAAAGTTTTCAATTGCTACCCATTCCTGAAGGACTGACTCCCTTTAACTACAGTTTGGGAGAAAAAATGTAATCTTATCTTCTTGATTTCATGTGTCAAAAGCTTTCAAAATATATAAATCTATCAAGAAGATGTCTTAAGTGAGCTCTTGATGACTAGGGGTTACAGCCCTGCTAAATGAGTTATCTGAAACCCTAATCAGCATTTTCAGTGTCATCTATAAAAAGGTTTATGAATGCAAGGGCACATGACTTTCAGCGTTCTTAACCAGTTTATTTTAAATTTTCATCAGATAAAAAGTATGAATTCTACATGTTATTAACACTTGTTATATGGGTGAAGTACTGAAATCTGATTTTTTTTTTCTCTTTTGTTTTTATAGATGTTAGAAGAAGAACAATTTATGAGTACCATCGAGTAGAGCTACAGATGTCAAAAATTACAAACATTTCAGCTGTGGAGATGACTCCATTACCTAGTAAGTTACTATGTGACAAGGCAAAACCAAGCTGCCCATTATCATCAAGTGAATTCAGACTCATGGAGGCCATGTGGTAGTTGTGATGTGTTTCTTTTAGTCAGTTCTGACTCATAGCTACCCTGTATAGGACTTCTGAGGCTGTATATCTTTACTGGAGCAGAAAGGCTCATCTTTCTAGCGCAAAACACCTGGTGGACTCAAACTGCTGACTTTGCAGTTAGCAGCCCAATGCATAATCCACTACATTATAGAATTCCTTATGGGGACCCTATAGGACAAATTAAAACTGCCCATAGGATTTTTAAGGTTGTAAATCTGAAGTGGCACTGTGGGTTAATGTGCCTGGACTACAAGATCAGTTTGAACTGCAAGATAGGCAGTTCAAGCTCACCACTCATTCCTTGGGGTTGCTGAGTCAGAATCGACTTGACAGCATTTGACAACAACAACAAATCTTTATAGAAACAAATGGCCACATCTTTCTCCTGTGGAGTGGCTTGTGGGTTCAAATTGCTGACCTTTTGGGGCTAATAGTCAATAGCACTTTAACTACCTCACCACTAGGGATCCTTTATGTATGCATGTTGTTTTTGAGTGCCTTTAAGTTGGTTCTGTCTCTTAGTAACCCTGTATAGGGTTTCTGAGGAATGGCTGGTGGGTTTGAACCACTGACCTTTCAGTTAGCAGACCAGTGCTTATCATATAGCTCCACTTCAAGGCTCAGTTGTATTCATATGTATGCAGAATGTTGCTTTGGATCTAGAGTCTGCAGAAAACACAGTATAAGATGTCGTCACTAGAAAAAATATGGTTGATGTATCTCTTTGTATGTTGTTTTTGTTAAATGCTAGAAACTGGATTCCAACTCATAGCTACCCTGTATAGGATTTATGAGAAGTTAGCTTGAACTGCTGATCTTGCAGTTAACAGTCCAGTGCTTATCCTACAGCGGCACACCAAAACTCCCATCACTTAGAAAAGCTAAGTGGAAAAAATCATTTGCAAGCTTGATTATCTGATCTGTTTATACTAAAAAGTATAACGTTAACATTGCGTTTGGCAGAAATGGCTATTTTGATGCTGAGTGAAGATAAGCTGGGTGGGTAGGTGGGTGATGTTTATTTTGATTCAGTAATCAGTTTTTGCCACATGACATCAGATTAGCATTGATGAATCTTGTGTCCCCTCTTGTTTCCTAGCATGTCTCGAGTTTAATGAGTGTGACTCCTGTGTATCCTCTCAGATTGGCTTCAATTGCAGTTGGTGTAGTAAACTTCAAAGGTAAAAAATACTTTTAATTAAACAAAATTAATGATTTTTTGAAAGATTGTTACTACACTTACATATTCTTATTTATTATTACAAAATATCTAAAAGATTACTATGGAAAATTAGAACTCTAGTGTGAGGCTGAGAAATAAAATGATACTAAGTGGCTGATGAGTGGTGGATCAAGCTCACCAGCTGCTTCTCGGAAACCATATACAGGGTCACTATGAGTCAGAACCCACTTGACGGCACTTAACAATAACAACAAAAGTGATGTTGATGAATTTCATTGATTTTCATGATTGGCAAAGGTTAATGTGCTATACTGGAAGGGTGCTCTGAACCACAAGGTTGGCGGTTCCAGCTCACCAGCTGCTCCTCAGAAACCCTAGACAGGGTCTCTATGAGTTGAATTGACTCAAAGGCACGTAACAACACCACCAAAACTTTTTCAGAGGCTTTATGATCATTGGTTGGAGATAGTAGGTGAAGAGGATTGTGTTAGTTTTCTAGTGCTGCTATAACAGAAATGCCACAAGTAAACGGCTTTAGCAAACAAATTTTTTCTATCATGGTGGTGGTGTTGTCAGGTGCCATCGAGTCGGAACCGACTCATAGCGACCCCATGCACAGCAGAACGAAACAATGTCCCATCCTGGGCCAACCTCACTACCGCTGCCACACTTGACGCCATCAATGCTGCCACCTGCCTGATCCATCTCATTGGGGGGTCTTCCTCTTTTTCTCTGATCCTCCTCCTTACCCAGCATGACATCCTTCTCCAGCGACTGTTCTCTCCTGACAATATGTCCAAAGTATGAGAGACGAAGCTTAGCTATCCTGGCCTCCAAGGAGCACTCTGGCTGCACTTCTTCCAAAACAGATCTATTGGTTCTTTTGGCAGTCCATGGCACTTTTAGTATTCTCCTCCAATACCGGTTTAGGAAACTAGAAATCTGGATGCGGGACACCAGCATCATTTCACTAGAAAAGTACTTGTCTTCTTTAAATATCTGTGTGCCCAGAGTTGTTCAGATATCCTCATATTTCTTGGCATCAATCTTGTCCAGGGTCTAGGCGGTTCTCAGTGCAGGGACTATGGATCCAAAGAACGTGCTCCGCTCCAGCATCAATTTTCTTGGTGGTAGTCAGGTCCCTCCTCCTCTGCTTACCTCTTCTTTTATCTCTTGTAAGAAAGAAAGAGATGCAGGTCACAGCCCTGGGAAGCTTCCCTTAAAGTGGATCAGCGTTGTGACCTGAGGAAGGGGGTTGAATCCCAGCCTAATCCCTTTATAACTGCTTGGCTGATCACAATGGATGACATTGTGGGGGATGATTACATTACATTGCTGCCAAATTTCATTATTGCACAACTACCAAACCTCTTGAGAATCATGGCCCAACCAACTGAACACCTATTTTGGGGGAGTCACAGTTCAATCCATGACAAGAATTTGAAATGCATCCCAATATTGATTTCACCATCTTGTTCATGTATTGTGTCCCAGGCACCGGAAATACAGTAGCTATAATATAGATGTGGAACCTGCTCCCAGGGAGCATTAGTCATTTGTGTCTAAGAACCCTTCTCATCTTTTAGATCTATGAAAAGTATGCCTCTTTCCCAGGTAGAGAACCAAGTTCATGCTATTAGCCAGTGCATGTGGCATTTTAGCTTTCTGTTGTATAAATAGTATGTCTTATCATAGTTTGCTGCAGCATTTGCTGTGATGATAAAGGTGTGTTCAGGAATAGCTTAAAAGTGATTGAAATATAAAAGGTAGAATTCCAATTGATATGCCTTGATAACAAGCATTTGGAAACATCCTTTAGCAACTAACTTTGGGGTTAGCTCTGAATTATTGTGAATAGAGCATTATCATTTATAAAATCTCTTTTTCAATTTACTGTGTGTTTCAATTATTTCTTTTCTGGAGAGAATTTCACAGCACCCAAAAGCAAAAAGGCAGTTATAATTTTTAAAGTAGTTTTTAAACTTTGCTGTAGATCCAGAGTTGAAAGAAATGCGATAAAATCAAGGATTTATGGCTATTTACATTCGTATTTTACTGACATTTCATAAAGATTACATGTATATCAGAATTTATTCAAAGTCTGTTTAGATAATACCACAGTGAATCTAAAGAGATGGTATTTTTATATGTATGTTTCAGTCTTAACTGAGCCTAGACATGAAAAATTCCCTAAAGACTTAAACAGAATGCCCTGGTTTGGGCTGTGTACCTGCTTAATATCCAGTTCAGTGTTTACGTCCTCTAGGAAGTCTCCCTAAATCGTATTTCTGTATAAGTGACCACCCCTGTGTTTCCACAGCCTCCTGGGCAAAACCTCCATTATCAATCAGCATTTGGCAAGACTTGAGGTACTCATTCACTTGTCTGCCTCCTTTACTAGGCAGACACTGTCTCATATGTGTTCGTATTCCTCCAGAACCTAAGGAAGTACCTGGTGCTGAAAAAGAATGGATGAATGAGTCAAGATCAGATTCCAAATGAAAGAATCATGATTATATTTATCTGGGAATAAAAGGGTTTTCCAGCGTGTGGGTCTTGCACTTGTAAAACCAAGGAGAATCAGGACAAGTTGGCCATGCTAACCGAAGCTCATTTCTGACTCATAGCAAACATGTTGTGTTGTTGTTGTTGTTGTTGAGTGCCGTGGAGTCGGTTCCGACTCATAGCGACCCTGCACAGGGTTTCCGAGGCTGTAAATCTTTACGGGAGCAGAACGCCTCATCTTTCTCCCGCGGAACCACTGGTAGTTTCGAACTGCTGACCTTGAGGTTCACAGCCCGATTCGTAACCACTACGCTACCAGAAAACTGCTACATAGGGTTTCCTAGGCTGTGGATCTTGAGGAAGGTGGACTGCCTCATCTTTCCCCTATAGAGTAATTGATGGATTTGAACTGCTAATCTTTCAGTAAGAATCCAGTTCTTCACCCACAGTACAACCTGGGCTTCTTGGTCACTGTTTGCTGGTAAGTGTCATTGAGTCCGTTCCGACTCATAATGAGCCTGTACAGGATTTCTGAGGAGCTGCTGATAGATTTTAACTACAAACTTTGTGGTTAGCAGTCCAGTGCTTATCCTACAGGTCAACTTCATCATAGATTATTAAGCTGATTCTTTCATGCAGTAATATTATGATAAATGAAATTTTGCAGACAATCTAGAATTCGATCTTTCTATAATTAGTTCATTTATGCCTTCATACTTCTGTTGGAAATATGTTTAAAGTTCCAAGCAACCAACTTTGGTCATCAAAACGTTTTTCACAAGTTGGGTATAAAAGTTATTAACACTTTTGTTTTACTTAGAGCTTTCTCTGTCAGACATCGTATGTTGTGTTGATGCTGCAGTGCTGTGAAATCAGTTCAGACTCATAACAACGCTGTATAGGGTTTCTGAGGCAGTAAAAATCGGGCTGCGAACCTCAGGGTCAGCAGTTCGAAACTATCAGCTGTTCCGTGGGAGAAAGATGAGGCTTTCTGCTCCTGTAAAGATTTACAGCCTCAGAAACCCTATACAGGGTCGCTATGAGTTGGAACCGACTCCACGGCACATAACAATAACAAACTTTACAGGAGCAGAAAGCCTCATCTTTCTCCCTCAGAGCAGTTGGTAGATTTGAGCTGTTAACCTTCAGGTTAGAAGCCCAACAAACAACCATTTAACTACCAGAACTCCAGCGTTCTCTATCAGACATTGTGCAACATGTTTACAGCAGAGGAAACTCAAGTGTATCAAAGCTGAATCACTGATGGTGAGTCTCAAATATCTGAAGTACTAAGTCTGAAATTTGACCTTGACTTTTATCACTCCCAGGCCTATGGTCTTGTTGCAATTCCAATTCTGCTTCACACTTACTGGTTACCAATTCACTAGGCAAGCTAATCTCCATTGCATTCTGAAAAAAAAGAGTAGATGTAATACTGGATAAGAAAACTTTTCTTGTAATTGATGTTGCAAAAAAGTTAGCTGGTTTTGAAATTGTCACAAGAATAATATATAAGAAAATTGAGCAAAGCATAAGATATTTGTATACTATTGAAAACATGTTTTGTTTTCGTTTTCATGATTAATGTAGAAAAGTGGCAATGCATATGAATGAGGAAAGAATCAATGAACATTATTTTTTAAACTATGAATTTTCTGCAGGTTATAATATGGAATTTTGTTTTATACCAAACACTGCTTTAAAATCTTAGATTATTTTTAATTCTTCAGCAACCCAATTATATACATATCAAAATCAGTTTAATTAATTAGTTTAACTATGGCTCATTGCACTTTTGTTCAGTTTAATTTCCCCACTGCATTTTATTAATTTCTCCTTAGACCTGTGAGCTTCAAAACTTTGTTTTTGCTGCCCAGCGGCATTGCCCCGGACTTTAGAGCTTTTATTAAGAAATTCTATAAAACAAGGGAAGTCTTATCCTAAGTGGCACAGGAGTTTCCACTTAGATTGTTTTTTTCTTCCATCACTTTTACTTTCTCCTTTGTACTATTTAGCCCTGAATGATAATCAGTTGGTGGTAATAACTGAACTCTCAGGTTGAGCTTGCTGTACAAAAGATAAGATAATTTTAATTGGTTTATTTCATTTAATTCCCATTTTTCATGGAGCAAAAACTAAGGCAGAATGTTTGTAATGAATTACCCAGGTATAAGAGAATTAGAGTTACAGGGAGACATATTGGGATCCATGATTGAAAGTGCTTCCTTAGCATAGTTGGACCACTGCGTTTGGTAAGAATAACTTGTTTCTTCATTGCAATAGAATACCTGAATGCTTACTTTCAATTATACCCTATATTTTCATTCATTCAAAAAAAATTTTTTTGAACTGCCTCTATATTTGTTACTTACCTAGCTGTGGATGTAGTGGTGAGCAAAAGAGACAAAACTCACTTCTTTCAGAGCGTTTATATTGTCACTACTCTGAGATAGATTTTTAAAAATTAGAGATAGAGCAAGAAGTTATGAGTTC